CAGAGAAGAAGCAATTATAACCAAGGGAGGAGAGTGAGGTTACCTGGAAGAGCTTCAAAAGCTCAAAGAGAAAATAGTATTAGAAAAACAGTTTATGTCTAGTTTTATAAATTTTATTGCAATTATAAGTTTTATAAATTTTATTTTTCCCCCAATTCATAAAAGGGTGACGTTTTATGTGAACTGAGCATTTAAAAAAAAAATTATCAGATCGGAATGGTTAACCACGACGGACTCTGTTAACGGAGAATTAACCCCGTGAACGGAAAATTGATTCTGTTAACGGTTTTGTGTGAATTGACCAAGTTTTATAAGATTATGTAGTAAATTTAAAAACAAAAGGAGTTTATGTGTGTTTAGGCCGGGGTCAATACTTCATGTATAAATAATCAGCAACAATATAGTTCATGGAGGAATAGGCCATTATCCCGAGAAGCTACTGATTTTTTTTCTAAACTGATGCATTCTCTCTATCTCTCGGCGTCTTCGCGTTCTTTTTGAGTGTACTGAAAATAAAAAGGAGTGTGTAGCTGGTTAGTTTTACTCTTGCTCTACACCATCTGCTACACAAATTCATGGAGTTGCATCTATAAGAGTTTTCGTATTGAAATTAACTCATTTCCATTTTGTTTCTAACAGGAGAGAGTTTAATTTGGTGAATACATTTCCGGCACAAAATCCCGGTCCATCTCAGTAAATGATTGGAGGTGAGCTGAATTGAGTTGGTAATGCCATTAGTTTGGTGAACTGTGACTCTACTTTATCTCTTCTTATCAAGAACTTATGATAACTTCTTGACTAGTTATTTTCTTAGCTGTGAAAAGCAAAAAAAAAAGGCAACACTTCAGGCTTTTTCATGTGTTCCTTTTACAATTTCAGTAATCAAAAAGAGAGAATTGTTGCATAAGTACGGAGCACTAAGTATAGACACAGTAAAGCCACCAGCAAAAAGGTTCGAAGCTTATCTTGTGTGCGCATGCTTTTCTTTTCCCTTTTTCGATATGTTTCTGCAGTTATCATTGGAGATAGTGACTATAGCAATATGCACTATACTTTCTGTTCACTTCTGGCTCACAATATCTTATTTGAATTCAACTTCTCAGTTTTCTTCATGTTATTAAGGCAGGAAACTTCTATATAAAAGCCACTAAATGGAGTCTGTTTCATCATGAGGTGAGTACGGAATTAAACTGGTGTAAGACTGAAAAGTTTTATAGAATCTATGTGTCAAATTTTCTTTAAAGCTAAGATACAACTGTGAGCCATTGAGTTATTGTCTGATCACCTGATCAAACTTTACATCTCGTTTGGGTTATAACTTCTATTATGTTCACTCGAGGAAAAATTGGGTCCACCAGAAAACATATATTACTCAGATCGACTGGCTTATGTTTTGTTCGACAAAGCATTTTGAGATCAGAAAATGTACCATGACACAGATTCTTTACAGGTTCAGAGGTCAGCTTTTCATATACTTATTGTTCTATAGTGACTTGTCTATGGCCTCCACGGCTCCACCAACAGTTTGGTGCGTGAAAGCTCTTTTTCTGGTACAAATGATGGATCAAAGGCACATCTGCAACACCTTCAAAGTTTTTAACTTGTAATTCAAGCAAACATCAACATCATATTTTCACCACAAAAGGTAAATTTTCCCCTTTTTACATGGTTCTTTCCATGACTTTTACCTTTTGAAAATAGTGACTAAGTATTTCTTGAATTTGCCTAGCATATCTATTTTGGTGTACCGATCTAGGGGAAATTTTGTAAAAGTATGAAAATCAATATTTATGTAGTTCTTATGAATATATTGGAACTAAATATGTGTGATAGATTTACTCCACAATATAGTATAAATCAAATTTTTGTTACTCTTTTAGTAGGTTAAGAAGAACAACAACCGTAACCTTAAAAGTTAGTATATGTCTGCTCCTACCAAGATCTTAAAAACGATTTGAAAAGTTGAGGGGACTTTATATTTTGTATATTAGCAATACTTTATAAAGTAGTTTTATAATCTATATGTAAACTCATCTATTCAGAATCTAAGTTAGTGATAACTTTTAATATCATTCCCACTATGAGCGAGGGAGGTCTCTCCTCAGGATCCACTATCACTAGTTATAGGCATATATATAGTTAATGGAACCTAGTGAGATTATAGATAATTTTACGATTATATCCATAGTAGGCTTATTGGAATGATTTGAGAAGTTTTAGCTAATTCAATAAAACTTTTAACAGTATAAGCAATATGTATATATCCCCTAATAACAATATTTCAGTGAATAAAAGGGACTAGTTGATCATAAACAAACATGAAAAGCTGTCTATCACTAAAGAAAAAAAGGGGAAAAAAGTGATCAATGTGGGTCACTAATCAAATCCTAAATCAAGATATTTTGTTTGGGTCCTACGCACAATCATCTGGGTAAGTTTATGTGTCTTTTCTGCTTTTGCAGGTAGTGAAAAATTATTGTTCAGAAAGTATAGACACATTATTATCTGGTTTTTTTCCTACAATGAAGTTACTGTTTCACTGTTGATTTGTGTTTGAGTTTGGCAGTTCACTATGAAATCTTGTTCTATTGTATGAAATGTGAAATTCACTATTTTATTCATAGGCTATCGACTTGTATTGACTTTTATTTAAATAAACAAAAGAAAGCTATTTCTTTTAGATTTTGGGCATATAATCTTGTCCTAATCCAAGTGAAGAGACCATAGGTATATCTTTCATTAAGTAATCACTACTTTCCGAAAGTTAAAGAGAAGAATAACAAAAATGAATGCATATAGAAGATGTACATCGTAACTAAGTATTTACAAAATTCTAGATTTTGGCAAAGTTGCCAAGAAAAGATATTTACATTTGTTTTTAGATGATTCAGGGTAAATCTTAGACCTATGGAGGAGTCCAGACTAATCTCTGGAGGAGGTGCAGTCCATGGATAGACTTTCTCTCCGGATATGTAAATAGACCGAAAGCAAAGATTTATATCCATGTGGGTGTCCAAAGTAATGTGTTTTAGTTTCGCGTAACAGGTGAATTGAACTTGTAATGTGTTGGCTTCACAAACCCGTTTCTTTACCACTTGACCACAGGACTCCGGACGATATTTACATTTGTTTCAAAAAAATTCTGGAGAAGAGTGGGCAAAGAAATAAAGCCTATGATTGATGATGCTTAGCAAGTGTCAAAATAATCTAATAACCAAAAATGAGTCAGGATATGAAATGATGAGTTATAATTATATATAGGTCCCATGTTATAGAGGATTGAGACATTTGAATCTAATCCTTAAGCATTATGAAGTTTCTATTCATTTTGTTTAGTGGAACCTCATCACTTGCTTACTCACTTCTTCACTTTTCATTATATTTAAAGAGCCATAAGGAATATATACCCTTGTATTTTATATACCCAAAAGGCTTTTTTGTTTCCACCACTTTCCCTTGCTGATGATGTACATAAACATGTCTCCACATCACATGTGCTATGTGTACAGTTTAAATTTGTTGTGTCATCAAATCTAACCTCTATTGTGTTTAGAATATATTTTTAATTGTTTATTTGTAGGTTTAAATTATCTTTATCTAGAATATAATGGTTATAATTGGTTGCAAGTAAATCACTTGCAATTTACTGTCATTTTATTTGCATATCAATAGTGTACAAAAAAGAAAAGAAATTATAGATATTTTATATCATTTATAGAATCTGAGTCCAAATCCAATATGGTTGCACAGTTACTTGCTTTTGGGTTGATATACACATACACAAGATATCTATATATACCGCCTCTTGTGCCTCCTCAGCTCCCACCAAAAAC